GAGAGAGAAAGAGAAAGGATAAAGGAAAAGAAGTGTATTGGGTTTATTTTTATTATTGTTAAGTAACATTAGTTAATTATCATATTTAAATGGAAGAAAGAAGGATAATGATGAGCCTATACTCATGCTGAGACTGTTACTAGTCTGACTCCATTATTATTATTATTATTATTAGCCATACAAGCCTATGAGAATTGTTTAAATTATGGAACAAAAATTCGTAATTCTAATTCTAAGAACAGGAATAAATTTTATAATTTAAAATGGGATTATGTATACATTTGGCCTTACAAATTAAGAATTTTAAAAGGATAAATTAAAGCTTTGGATGACAAAAGGATAGACTAGTTTATGAGTGAATGTTTGGAGTCAGAGCTTTATAGCTAACCTAGGGTAGAAGTGATTAGTGACCATTAATCGATATCTGAATGACTAGGGTAGAAGGTTGGATGTTAGGGCGTAAAATGACCTTAGCCGTTAAAACGCCTTTAAAAATTAATAATAAAATTAAAAATTGATATTCCATTGTGTCTGAAAAAATTAAACAACTGTAAAGCTAAATTAATACTACAATTCACTCTTTCTATAAAATTTGAATATGTATATTATCAATAGAAAAATTAATTGAAATGATCATGCAGATTCATAATAAGTATACTCATTTATGATATAAAAAAAATGAAAACTATCATCGCTAATTGATTAATGATGGATCGAATTCTACCTTCACTGATATGCAAACAATTTAAAGCAGCAACCGTTATGATTCTCTACTCAAAACAATCTGAAATATCTTCTATACATTATAATCCATTCCAGGTTCATATCCTGGCCAAGCCCATGAAATTTTAATTGAGAGCCAGCAGGTAGTTGGATGGTAAACCATCATGTATGACAATTTTTTTTTTTTACTTTTCAATCAATTTTAACATTTTTGGTGTTGTCAATTCTATAAATATAAAGTATTGTAATTGTAGTAGTACAATGTCGTCAACATAGGCACAAATGTGTTCTGTCCTCCTACTCTAGTATTACCCATTTTTTAACATTATCTATTATCATTACTATTTTTTTTCCATAATACATAACAAAAAATACAATTCTTTAGAAAATGAACAAATTTGTCTTTTATTTTGAAGAACAAATTAATGAAATACAAATGTTATGTAAGTTTTATCAGACAGCATTTAATAATTTTTATTGTGCTTTTTTGTCAATAAAAGTCTAATTTATCGTTCAGTTTATCAATTGCGAGACAAATTTTAACTGTGTGTAAATATTCAGTATATTTTAAGTTCATTTCTTTTTTAATAATTATTTTCTACTAGGGCATAATTAATAATTGTGGAAATTCTTTGTTGGGTGCGTAGAGAATAAACAAGAAATCTTCATTTTAATGCTAATTTGTTTATTAATTTAAGTCAGTATTGATTAATCACCGAGAACAAGTTAAATATCACTCACATCGTTCTTCTTGAATTCTTTAGCAAATTTAAATAAACTTACGACTGAAGGTTTTAAAAATTCGATATCTTAACATCGAGATTACAAATTTTATTCAGTTATAAATATTTGTAAAAAGTAAACATAGATTAAAGTTGTATGCTGTTTTGGTATCCCTGGAGAAAATTAGGCCTTAAAAATAAATCTTTAACACTGCATACAACAGAAATAAATTAAGTGAGTTGACATAAGACTGTGTAGGTGTGAATTGACCTCAACCATTAAAATATTTCTCATCATAATCCAAGAGTTTCATTTAATTGTTTTATGTATAAAACAATATTGAAGAACAAACAAAAATTTGTAGTAGTTGCATTTACATAAACTATATTAGATTCCTAAGATTAAATTTAAATTTTGTTTTATGGATCAGAAACCTATAACAAAGCCCATTATGGTTTCACTTCTTTTTTAGATCAACGTGGATACATTTTGTGTAGATTTGGATGGAGACGTGGCTTAAGTATGCTCAAGGTTTGATGAAAGCTCATCAAATAAAAACGTTAACAATTTTGGCCCATTTAACTTTTGCATAGTAAAACTCAAAATAAGTTGCACGTCCAGCACATGTTATTACCTATAATCATCTTGTAGCTGAAGTGTATGGAGAAAAATGCAAAACAAATAAAATATTTGACCAGTTGAAGTATTCAGTCCATTTTCCCATGGAATGTCCAACCAATGACTCTTCATTTTGTCGAAGGGAGATAAATCAAATGATGCGGAAGTAATTAAGGACCTGCAAACACTTAATGTTAGTGTTGCAGTGCAAATTTCCAGAAAATAGTATTTTATTTAATTTTGTGAACAATAAAAACTTAAGGAATTAGTATTGATTTTAAACAATTTCTTTTAATGATATGTTTATTTGGGAAATAAGTTAATGTTATTGAAACTCTTCAGTGGTGTTTGTCTTTATTTAAATTTAATTGTGGTTTTATTTATTAATATGAAGTAGCATGATTTTTTTTTGCTATTTTAAGAGATTGGACAAACCTGACTTCAATTTTCATTCATTATGGCTATGAAGAGTCACTATATTTCAATTACACACTTATTACAATATATATTTATCATGGAAAATATGCGAGCTTGTTTTTATTATTATTTTTTATTTGTGACTTGAAAGTTGGTGTAAAATTTATAATTGATAATGTTAGATGGGACAGTTATCGAAGTGAAACCATAAGGTTTTCATTTTTAGCCTGTTGCTTAGAAACGCTTTAAAGATTTTGCATCGTTTGTGTCCTATTTAAATATTAACTTTGGCCAATTTATAAATTGCAAAACTATTTGTCAAATTCACTAATTTTAAACACAAATTACCTTCATAATTTAAAATGGTGATTTCCTCTTACTATAATGAGTGTATCTATGATTTTATATATTTTAATTAAATTAATCATTTTATTTGTTAAGTTTCTTTAACAAAATTGCATTGGATAATATTGTTAGAATGGTTTTACTTACTGTCTGAATCTAGTAGCGCATTGGGATTAATGGGATTTCCTAAAATAAATATAAATGTTATTACTGTTCGCCTAATTGAAATGCTGCGAGCAATGAATGGAAAAAAATATTACCAGAGCTACCCTCCTTCTCGTTGGTAAAGTTCATGTAGCATCTCCCTAACTCATCTGACCCGCCACCAGTTGGCCTCTTCGGGTCGTATCTCAACGATGAAGATGTCTTCGCTTTAAGTATGCTAGACCGACTCGACGACTTTAACTGCGGATCATCCTTATTCTTTTCTCTTTCATCGGTCCCCCTTCCGGAGACGCTGATCTTCTTAGAAAAAGAAATTTTGCTGCAATAATAACTAACGATGATGCTAGTGTAATTAGCAGTACCAAATATTTATTGTTGTATTAATAATTGTTTCATTTATAAATAGGGGGTAAATTCAATGTGTAATGTTCGATTTATTGACCAATAGAGGATTTATGAATACATAAATTTGTTTCATTTTCTGAGATAAACCTGCTCAACTGTAATCGTATTTTTTTTTCTTTCAGGTTGGTTGAGATAAGTTTTGGATAATGACACTGACTTACTTGTAAAACTCTAGGTGTATGTTCTAAAAATAAAATTGTAAATTTTACCTGAAAGTTAATTCCCACTTGTTAAAATTTAGGTCAGTGGCACCTGACCGTGAGAGGAGCCAGAATTCTTGTGCCTTGAGAGCACAACACCTTAAAAGAACACAGTAAGACAAAATTCATATTCCATTGGAGGTGTCATAATATTCAAATTTTTAATTGAACCTAGATTAACGGCAAAATACAGGGGAAACCATTTCAGGGAAAAATGTGCAAGTCAAATTTAATTTGATTGCTAGCTAAATTCCCTGAAATCGTTATATAAAATGATAGTAAAATAAAAGTATTAGTAAGTGTAATAAATTTACCAATTATAATTTTGATAGCATATGGCCAGAATTTCTTAATAGAAATTTATTCCGAAATGAAGTATGTATATGTCGACTGTTGCACTTTTTGCCCGATGATTTGCTCGAAGTATTGGAAAATCCTTAATTGACAGTACAAAAATCAGAGTTAATATTTTTTAACTTTCTGTTTTTTTGCTTAAATTAAAACAAAATCAAACCAAAACAAAAGGAGTAATTTAGAATTTATTTGGCCAATGAATTTGAACATATGATTGTATAGGATTTGCTAGAAATCTTAAATCATATTAGAAACTGAGAATAAATTTTTTATGACATCATCCTTGTGAAAGAAGTAAACTCATAAATTCCAAATTTTAAAATCATTCTTTGAAATTAATAGATTTTGAAAAGGATTGAATAAAATTCTTTTATAGTTGTGTTTTCTCACTGATACTTCAATTTTAGACAATAAGCAATTTTGTTGTGCTGTCTTTAAATCCTTTGATAATAAGATAAAATTTAATCAACTTTAATTTTATTAAATAATTGTCATACAGATGGGATCAATTTCTGACTATCCATTGGGTGTTGTGGACAAGGGATCAAACCACTTTACAATCCATTTTTCATATTATAATCAGTTTAAAAACCATTAGCTCTTCCGGGATTCAAAGCCAGAATCGGCTCCAGAATCCACTAATTATTAATATTAAATTTCAAACTAAATTTTTTTAAGCAATATTTTTTTTCCAGAATATGCATAATAAGTACTATGCGTAGCATGATTTCATTTTTTCCCTTTTCTTTAACTGCACAAATAACCTTTTTTCTACTAAGTAGTAGTTCAAAAGAATACCTCCTCATAAATTAAAAAAAAATCTTTTTCATGTAAGCGCAATGGCAAACTGTCAATCTGGTCTTGTGACATGGATTTAAGATAAATTGCCACAAAGTAATAAAATTATATTTCAACTTCAATATAAAAGGATTGTTTAGTAATAATAATAAAAATATATTTTCAATAACAAATATAATTTTATTATAAGGTATATCAATTTAAATGAATGCGAGAAGCAAATATACATAACTATAATATAAATATTATGTGTTAAAGAAATAAATCAACCATGACTAGAACATTTATTCCATTTTACAAATATTATGTACAAGTAAAAAATATAAAACAAAATATTTTCCTTAATTTACAATAATACAATTGCAAACACGAAGGGCCACTCTTTCCCAGGAGGCCCGTCACCACTGATGTGCAGGGCTGTGTTTCTATGTAAGAGGTATAGCACCATCAATGTAATCGATGAATTCATTGTACTCTGACAACGGGAGTACCGTGAACGATAACAACGAATCTTGAATCCATCCTAGGTTTACAGGTATTACACGGTATTCCAAACACAGGCCTACAAGGAAAATTACTTTTCTTTAGACAATCTCATACTCTTCGAAAGATTTGAGCTTGTAGCTTGATATTGAGTCATAGATCCAATATGGACTAACGAGAATCAACTTGTGATGACCATCTGTAAGTCAGATACACTCTCATATTCCTTCATAATGTTAAACTTTGTAGCATGGAACATGCATCACTAAAAATTAATTGGAAAACGTTAACCTGCTTGATTTATTTTGATAATTTGCAAAAAAAATTATGGAATGACATCAGAAGAAAACTAATCTATTACAAACTAGTGTCGCATGTAACATGACATTTTCAAACTAAGAAATATCACACTTATTAATAATTTAAATAATTCCAACTTCATAAACATCAAGAGCATCTTATTAAATATTTAAAACATTGAGTTCAAAGGAACTACATTAATAATTATATTGTTGTAAAAATTTTGTGTGTGTGTGTGAATGTATGTAAGTAAAGTGATTTACAAGTGTATGAATGTTCATACTTAAGCATATGAATGAATATATAGGTTGTATAGTTTTTAGTATACATGTAGAATCTTTATGAATGACTGGCCACTTTGCATCTATCACAGTCAAGCCAGCAAGTACTGCCTGGCGTGTAATAAGCAATTTGCAGAAACCCTTTTATGAAATTTTACAAAACTTAAGTTTAAAGATGTTTGGAATAAATTTAAACCAGTAATCGTATTTTTGCAAAAATGAGATAAATGTGTGGTGAGTAGTGACCATTAGTCGATATTTATTTATAAATCGTGAGATGCGGTCTAGTGTGATGTACATTTCAGAAAAACATTTTCTTTATCGTGCCAACGTTTCGATCTTTATTGAGATCATCTTCAGGGCCTGGGATTTACAAACATTGTTTACATTTAACAAATACATGCAGGAAGTGGAAAAAAGTGAATTTATACAATACAAAATATATTTTTTATATTCAATAAAAGTATTTCTACTCACTCAGTGTTTGTCTTCTGTGTAATTGTGCCATTCTTGCGTGTCATGCTGAGAGTGCCAGTGAGATATTGCTGTTTTAACATGACATGCAAGAATGGCACAATTACAAAGAAGACAAACACTGTGAGTGAGTAGAAATACTTTGATTGAATATAAAAAATATATTTTGGATTGTATAAATTCACTTTTTTCCACATCTTACGTGTATTTGTTAAATTTAAACAATGTTTGTAAATCCCAGGCCCTGAAGATGATCTCAATAAAGATCGAAACTTATTAAATTCACTAGTTTCGTGGTCCGCTTGACCAAGTAATATCTTACAATTAATTTAGGTTTTTAGTTTAGATAAAAAAGTTAATGGTAAGAGCGGGATTCGAACCCACAAAGGGTGTATTCGAGGTCACGATAGCTCAAATGGTAGAGCAGCGGCGTATCTAGCCGAAGATCATGGGTTCGAATCCCGCTCGTGCCATTAACTTTTTTATCTCAACTAAAAACCGTAATTAATTGAAAGATCGAAACGTTGGCATGATAAAGAAAATGTTTTTCTGAAACCTACATCTCATGATTTCTGAATAATTAATGATATGAATACTTCAACAACATATTTGATGGATTACATACTTCATATTCAAACAAAAATAACAAAACATTAAAATAGCAAATAAAAAACAAAAATGATATTAGATTGAAAGTGATTATTGATTCATTCATACATGTATTCAGCAGTCATAATTGACCATATTAATTAAATTAATTATACTTTTATATAGGGTCTTGGTTGAGATGAAAAAGCTTGTGTTGCAAACAGGATTGGAACCCCAACCTTGGCTTCGTGAGTTCGAATCCTGTTTGCAACACTAGTTTTTTCATTTCAATCAAGACCTTTTATAAAAAGTGTAATTAATTTAAATTGTTTATTGAGTTAGATTCTGTATGTAAAACTCCAAAATATTGTAGTTTATTCAAAACACTAAACTGATAGGAAAGTTACCGGACTATTAAGCAAATTGTCAAATAATTTTACTAATCTTTTGAATAATATGTGGTGTTTAATTAAGCTAAAACTAAGATTATTTGGAGATCGTGAGATGCGGTCTGGTGGTGTGACATAAGTTTAGAAAAGCATTTTCTTTATCGCGCCAACATTTCGATATTGAGATCATCTTCAGGGCCTGGGATTTATAAATATTTTTTAAATGATACAAATATATGTAGGAAAAAATGAATTTATACAATGATAGAAATTTTAGACTCAATCAAAGTATTTGTACTCACTATAAATTCATTTTTTCTCATCCTACATGTATTTGTTTAATTTAAACAATATTTATAAATCCCAGGCCCTGAAGATGATCTCAATATCGAAACGTTGGCACGATAAAGAAAATGTTTTTCTAAACCTACTTCACACCAGACTGCATCTTTTGAGTAATGTTTTAGTCTTAACAAATTAAAATGAATTCTTGTTGAATGATTAAATAAGATGTTAAAATAATAAAAACATTTTTTTTATAACACTTACTTATGTACTTAAAATCTGGTTCTGACTCCGGGTCAACTATACAAACTCTCGTCATGTCCAGATCAGTAGCATCGCTGAGCTCTTCTATCACCACTGCACCACAAAGCTTTACAAGTGCCTGAGACAGTAAATTAAGAGCCCTTTACAATTTATTATTGCTTTATTATTTAGAAGCTTTGCGTGTTTATAAACAATAATAGCAATTTTAATAATTATTAAATCTACAACTGACATTAATAAATTATTTTATATAATATAAGGACTTTTTGTCATTGCGAACTAGTAAAGCAAAGATTCATTATCTCAGATCGTCCTGATATTTTTGATAATGTGAAACATGTGTTTCTGCATTTTGCGAAGATTACGCTTCTTTACAAAAGGACACACAGAAAAGGCAGAGACCAATCATTGAAAATAGTAAAATGTCAAAAAGTATCTGTAGATGAAACTAGCAACAAAAGCTGACCAGGATGATAAGAAAATTTTCAAGCAATATGGTAAAACATATTTCTATCACAGCAAATTTTTTTTTTTTTTAACATTTCCGAAAATTCTTAACAAGTTCAAAAAAAAGTGTATATAGATGTAGTGTAGATTATATTGTATACAACTCCTGAACTTGTTGTTATCAACATTTAATTTGTCTACCAGGCATAGGGTAAAATGCGACCACAAACATACACATCACTGATACAAGCACACTATCATTATACACACCCAAGAACTTTTCCCACAGCATGTGTTGGGAGTGGTGGACTTGAATAATACCCCACCCTTATATCCCAGCGCTGCTGCACTGCTGAAGGGCCATATCTTGATACAGGAGATCTGAATGTGGGATGGAGGCGCACATGAAAGTTTCGGCATGCAGTGATTCTCCAACCTGCATGAACTGCATGATGCCCACTCTAGCATATGCCCTGCCCTCCTGCAGGAAAAGGAAATTCAAAAATTGAAAACTATGGAGAGGCATTCCTACCGGGAGGCCAGGGCGATAGTGATTGTCAGTAGTCAGGGAGGGGGGACAGGAAGTTCCCTCCCTATGCTCAGGCAACATCTCATCCCGCCCTGGTACTAACTACACAATGGAAAGCAAAAACAAATGGTGTAACCACGACATCTAAACCCACCAACAAATTGGAGGAGGCTACCATCTCCCCTGCAATCATTGTCAGGGTCAAGGAGGTTTCAACCCCCCCCCCCAGAGAGAACATGAATGTCCTCCTCTCAAACATTGCTGGTGGGGGATAAAACAGTATTTATATGTCGCTAAGGAAATGGCATGGCACTTTGCGGCCAAGTCAAGATATGTGGCTTCCAGCTTTTGTAGAACAAAAACCAAGACAGAAGAGAAGGAAGTATATAACCGTCCACAGATGGTCGAAGAGTTGGAGGCTGTGTTGGGGTGCGCCCTGAATTCAAGCTCCGAGTGCGAGGGTATCCCATATGAAATGGCTCATCTTTACAGACGGGTCAAAACTGACGAAGATATGGCATGTGCCATGTATTGCGAGGATATGTCCACCTCATGGTCGTTCCTGCCACACTGTAGCATTAACACGGCAGAAATGTATGCAATTTGGCATGCCCTTGGGCTGATTCAAGACGATGTTGGCATTCTTAGTCTGCACCAACTCCCTCAGTGCAGTTTGTGACAGGTTTTCTGTCAACTACTCATAGTGCTTTTGTCGGAGAGATACCAGCAACCGGAGCATCTCAGCAAAATGAAGGTTGTTGTCTGAGTACCTGGACATCTGGAGGGTAATGATAAATGGACAAGGCAGGTAAGACCAGGACGACCCAACCTCCGGACTTAACCACCATGGTCCGGCCCTCTGATGCTACAAATACAGTAAAAAACATTATAGGAAAGTGGCAACATTTATGGGCTGGGTCAACAGAGAAGCACTCTCATATCAAGAGCACTGTCAATGGGTGGTCCTCAGAGATTCTGACTCGTAGAAGTGACATCCCCACCCAATTAAAAATAGGCCATGCGAGGGTGATACATGGATACTTAATTCTTGGGCCAAGGCCTGCATCTGTGTCCAGATGCAAAGAAAAATTGCTTTATGTACTCCACCTAATTGAAGGTTGTAATTCCTTGGCTCCATACAGAGAGCGCACAGGAATGCCACTCAATTTGAGAATTGTGCTTGAGCATGGCAGTGAGTATTTGGTTACCCTGTTCTGATTCTTGGAGGAAACAGTGTTAAAAGAAGTGTTATATAATGTTATGGTAATAATAGTTGTGTACACCTAGTTTTTGTTGAGATTGAACGTATTAAGATAGTTAAGTATAAGATAGCAGAATATTGAGTACCCCATCACCCCTCAATTAGGTTAGTTGTATAATATGTGTAAAAAAAAGATGATTGAAGAATACCAAGTACTCCACCACCCTAATTAATGAATGGTATGTAAATAGGAGTGAATGTATTTAAGAATGAACAGGGTACAAATGGGTTTGGAACGTTGTGTTGGGTGCTAAATTGACTTAGCTGTTGACAACACCCCCCCCCCCCTTGAGCCCAACCTCAGTGACTAGATGGATAAGACTGGTCTGCCCCCTGGACTGCCATAACCCGGGGAGGGTGATTCTCAATTCTGTGAGCAGTTTACTGTAAATAGTACAGCGGGAATTGCCAATGGACTATGGGAAGGATTTGAGCCTATATAAATCCAAATCAAAATTTAATTGTTTAAAAATAATGTTCATTTAAAAAAGAGTAAAATGATTAATTAAAAGTTTTAATATATAATATAATCATACCTTGATTTCCTCGCTTTGTGGATATTTAAATTGATCCCAAATGTGGATTACAAAACCTTTAAATAGCTGTTCTCTATAGCCAGATTCCATACAGCTAAGAGGCCCTGGAGCCTGAATAATGTATCTCAGCTAAAAAAAGGAAATGAAGAATGTTAAAATAACATACAAGAGTTTAATACAAGTAAAATAAAATAAAAATATGTGTACTGTTGGAAGAAGGCGGTCACAGGACATACAGTCATAAATCCATTTTATCGTTACGATCGGGATCCTTAAAGCAATAGCCATGAGCAATTTATATGTTTTTATCTTATCGAAGTCTTTGTTGCTGACAATAAGATGTGTTGTTCTTTCATCGCAAGTCTTAGAGAAAACGCCTTTCACCATTTTGGCGAATTCCATGACTTTTGCCTTTTCCGTCGCTTCAAGTCCAGTTTGCACAAAGGTGAGAGTGGTCTGCATAAAGCAAAGGATATTAGAAATGATCAAGCGCAATTTAAACAATAAATCCCATACCCTGTAGACTCCACGTTTAAATTCATGCGGGTCATTGATTATCTTTACGTTTGGACGTGATCTTGGGTCAAACCTGTGCAAGTATTCCTTATTTATGGCAGGAATAGTGTTTAAATTAATTTTCTTTATTATGCTCAATGAAGGTTTCATAAGCGTGATCACTCTTCTGCCCTTATACGGCTTGACGGCTATGCTAGTTTTCAGATCAGTGTTCTGAGATTCATTGGAAATCAGAGATTCTTCATCCTCCCTTAAAAATAAATATTAAAATATTATTTTACAAAGAAAGTAGAATACATCACAAAGTTAGACAACTTACACAGAACTATCAGATTTCTGCATGTCCATTTCTAGTTCTCCCTCCTAAAATCAGAATTTAAATAACAGATTAAATAACTTGTTATAATTGATATAATCAGCCTTAAATGTGATTTTCTATTCAAAAATCAAGAATAGGGCCAATTTAGCCAATTAAGTTTATTACCTACTTTTGATATTAATGCTTTATTAAGAGCAAAACAAGGTAATAAATTATTAATTAAATTTCAATTGCTAAATGATTTGGTGAATTTTCTTTCATACCATCAAAATTAAAAATATTTTATAAACTCATGAATTTCTGATCTCGTTTAATCTGGTTTACATTAAAATAAGTATGTTGTATTTAATATAGATAAAAATATATACCATTTGAAATAGATGTCTGGTTTCCAGTTTTTGCACATACATTATATTTTCACTCTAAAGATAGGGAAACTCCTGTTACCTTAAAAACATCCCAACTTTCACTACCTCTTCTGCACATACTCATACACATATTGCCCTCCGGCCTGACTAGTACGGTTTTCCTGAGACTCCAACTCAGCATATCTCTATAATAAGAGCAAGATGAGAGGGGGGTCAACCATGAATCTGTCATGGATAACTGAAACTGCGATCAGGGAGTCACTACAGAAGAGATAGGCAGAGCCTCCTTCATCTCGTATCACCCCGTTTGTATGCCAGATTGCATACAACTCTGCTGTTGCAATACCTTGGAAGGAGCCAAAGGTAGCGAGCCAATGTTATAAATGGCAGAGGCCACACCATCGCCGGTCTTAGACCCATTGGTAAAGATGAGGCAAAAACTGGCAAACCCATCAGGAACACAGTTAGAAATGTGGTGGTGTACATGATCTGGCAAGTGCTGTTTATGATATTTTTTATATGTGATACTATTATATCAATTACACATAAAATATGAATAGAAAATATAATATGGTAAATCAAGTAGTTAATAACAATTTTGCTATTAAACAAAAATGAAAATAGATGTGATATTGGTTCATAAAACTTAAGTGTTGTTATGTGGTGGATATATTGTATGTGAAAATATGTGTTGTTATGTGGTATAAGAAAATCATAATTCCTTTTGATAAAAATAATTTATTGTGTCGCCTTATGTAATAAACAAGTGTATTTGCAAATCTCAAACCGTTTTCAGTAAAAATTAGATAGGACTTTGTAATAATAAAAATCACCTCTGCGTGAAGAAAGTCCATTTCAAGTTGCCTTTTGATTTTTACGTTTTTCTGTTTGTCACAAATTTTTATAAGATCCCGCTGGCTAACTACCTTCATGTCCATTATATTTGAATCATCGAGTTTTTTGACTTCACTATGAGTCAAGGGTGTAACTTCCTGGCAGATCAAGCTAAAATGGATGTTTAGATTAGAAAATTTACTTTATGGATGAACTAGCTAATTGGAGTACTGAAGGTGTCTATCTATTTTTTTTTATTATAAGAATAAAAAAATAAATAATTCCAATGTTTATTATTTTTTATCAAGTTTAATTGTACATATACTCAATTAATTAACCACAATTTTTCATTTTGAAAAAATATCGTATAATTAATTGAGTATAAATAAATAATATTGGGTTAGTGCAAAATTAATGAATGTTTTGAAAATTGGTTTTATTTTTGCAGGTGCCTATCATGTAAACAAAGCTAAATCCTCAATCTAGTTTATGGATTATAATAAATACTTTTAACTGTTATCTTTTATACAAAACATTTTCTTTTACATTGAATTTTGTAAGAGCGAGGCTGTTCGCTAAATTTATTTGTATGAATTTAAACTTAGGCGAAGTGCGGCTCAAAGCGCTCATAACATCAATACAATTTGGGAGAAGGGAAGCAGTAGTGAATGCATGGTGAGTTTCAAAGATTTTGTGTTGGAGATTTCGACCTCAAAGACAGAGAAAGTCGCAGTAGGCCTTCCGTTATGGATGTCGACCAACTCAAAATGTTTATTGAAGAAAATTCCTTTAAAGCAACACAGGAAATTGTGAAAGAGCTTAGTGTTGAACACTCAACTATTTTTCACTATCTGGAGCAAATTGGTAAAGTAAAGAAACTCGACAAGAGGGTACCACACAAACTAATCCAAGCCCAATGAAATTGGCGATTTGAAATTTGCACGTCTCTTCTCTTGTGCCACCAAAATGAGCCATTTCTTGATTGAAACAATATGTGCGATGAGAAATGAATTCTGTGTGATAACAGGAGGCATAAGGTCAGTGGTTGGACAAAGATGAAGCCCAAAACACTTCCTGAATCTGCACCAAAAAAGGTTATGGTGACTGGTGGTGTACGTCTGGGGTTGTTCTCTATAATTTCCTGAATTAAGGTGAAACTATCACAGCAAAGAAATATTGCCAAGAAATTGACAAAATGCATGGGAAACTGCAACGTCTTTGTCCAGGAACATGTTAAAGCTAGGCTTCATGTCACAATGCCAACCCTGCGGAAACTTAAGGACTTATGATCTGAAACCTTACCGCACTCTCCATATTCACTCAACCTCTCATCTACAGACTTCTTTTTTTAGACATTTTGATAATTTCTTGAGGGATAAAATTTTTAGGGAATGTGGTGCAGCTAAAAACCTCTTTCAAGTCTTTATTGTAAGTTGAAATAAATATTTTTGTCAGTGGAATAAAAGCGCTTATTACACGTTGCAAAGATATATAGATTGTGAGGGGAAATATTTCGAATAAATTTTCTTTATTAAAAAAAAAATATATATACTAAAAAAACATGCCTTTACAAAACCTGCATTAATTTTCCACCAGCCCAATAATGAAACTAGTTCAAAATGTAAGTTAACAATGGCTTACTCACCCAGTTGTCAATAAAGAAGCTGGAGTTGAATTTCTTCTTTTAGAAGTACTAAAATCAAAACAAAAAAATTAATCATCATATTGTAGTTGAAAATAGCAGTGAAAATTTACCCCACGTGCAAGCCTTCTTCTGTTTGAACTCCAACAGACATATTATTTTCAACCTCCCTGTACAAAAATTAAAGCAAATTTATAAAGTAATATTAACATACCATACAACATGTGATGATTAGTGACCGTTAATCGATAATTATTCAGAAATCGTGAAAAACAGACTGCATCTCACGATTTCTGAATAATAGCATACAATATATTATAATCATTATTAACAATACAATTATAATTATGTATATGGTGTTTGTAATTATTAAGGGGAACATAGTGGCCGAATTGTTAGGCTATCTGATTTTGTATTTGTTATCGTAGTGCCTTTTACACTTTCCCTAACTTGTGTCAGTGGCGATTCTATCCAACTGGCAAATCAAGTTTGCTTGATGGTTAAAAACTGATGTTTGTGATCCTTGTAGAACAACAGGCCGGTTTATATCTCTTTCCAGTTTTCTTCACAGTAAATAAAACATCAATATTATTTCTAGTTGGTGTTGTAAATATGCAAGTCTAGTTGTTCAAGTCAACAGCATTTTTCGCTACAAAATGGACAAAATAAAGTGAAAGGTATGAAACAAACCTTCCCCATTCTTGGGCCCTCAGCAGAGATTCAATATTTATTAAATCTGTCTTCCTGAAATAGAAATAAATAAACACTGTAAGACTTAATGAGATTTTAAAAACAGCATTTTTTATAGTAATACCCAAACCAGCTTCACCTCCCCATTAAATTGATGAAACAATCTACTTTTTTTTTTCAATTTTAATAAATACATTATGACAATAAATGAAAAAGATAATAAAGCATACCTTTCATGTTCTTGTACCACTTGAAAAGAATTTATATAGACAAGATCAGACCTCCTGAAACATTATTTTGCTTTTCACAATTTCATTTATAGAACAGGTAAAACATGAATGTACTGCACATGCATTAATGTACATAATAATAATTGTTATAAAACTGAAAATGAGAATTAATCAAATTTGAAATTTTGTGGATTATAAATTGGAATTTGGAAGGTGCGAAAATTAAAATTTGCAAATGAACGATATGTTGAATGAAGTTGCTCATCAGCCCATAAAATAAATCAGTTGTACAAATATCAGTATCATAAAAATAAATATTAAAAACATACCCAAGTGTGCTTCGAGTTTTTGAAATAGGTCCTTTAAACTGGAAAGGACATTTCTTTGAGAATGGGCAGAACCTACTTTTTGATTGTTGTTCCACAAATGGTGTTTTTTGTAATAAAGATTCTGCTTGCTGAGGCGAATTCTCATCTGTAACGTCAACAAATAATAGATCTTGTAATTTGTCGAAGACGCATGAGGATTCACTTGAGACGTCCCCGCCTATATCGCATGCAATTTCAAGCTGTTTGAAAATTTTGCAATCTTCCTGGTCAAGAAACTCTGAATCGCCTTTGGGCAGGAATTTGCTTTTTCTATAATCATCTTCGTCACTTGAAATATTATAGTACTCACCCATTTTACTTTTTTCGTTATCCTGTTTATCGTTCACTGATATAATATCCACCTGCAGTAATCCTGAATTCTGATTTGGTTCACTAAACTCTTCATTTTTCAAAGTTTCTTCACTACAGGGATCAGGAGATGTAGGGGTTGACAGGGGCTCAGCCGGTTGATTTAATGTCTCTTTCACTTCTTTAAATTCCACTTTTTCTTCAGTTTCAATGTTGTTTCCATTTTCCTTGGTCGAAGTGTTGGCTTCTTTCATCTCTTCTGCTTCATCCGAACTCGAGTCGAGGTCAATTATATCAGACTGTTCTGTACGTTTCTCTAACACATTTTCTGTCTTTTTAGAGGCAGACTGAAGAGAAAAATATTCTCTTTCATAATCTTCAGTCTCTAAGTCTGAATATGGAATGTCTTCAGAATTTGGAGGGGATGAAGAACGTGCCAACGGTTCATCACCATCATCAGAACTTTCATAAGAAGTTTTTTGAAAAACTTCATTTTCTGATAGAGAAGAGGAACTATAAGTATCTAATCCTCTGGAAGCAAGCAGAGCTTTGATGCCGGTCAGTTGTTCTTTTTGGTAATGTGGTTTAGGAAGTGCAATTTTTTTTTCATCATCAGTGCTGGTACTAGAATTGCTACTGCATTCATCAAACTCCTGCTCTGCTGATGCTAAGTTCTCTCTCTGCTGGTTTTCTTGATATTTATCTATCAATTGATTAGTCAACGCAGATTGTGATGGATCACAAACTTGATTCATTTTATTAGAGGGAAGTGCCTCAGTTTTACAGCTTTTTTCATTCACACTATCACAATTTTCTGTGAAAAGATTTGTATTATGTGAGAATTTTTCAGAATCCTTTACAATGATAATGCGCTCTTCTTTATGCTGTTTTTTGCAGTATTCCAGTTCACTGCCATCATCATGACATTCCATTGTATAATAAATACTGTTATTTATCTGCTTAGGAAATCCACTTAAAGATTCTCTGTCTTTAGAATGCAGTCCAGAAGAAATCAACTGATGTGATTGTCCATCATGAGAAACTTCATAATGTATATTTAATTCTTGATTCTTAATCAGATTTGAACAGTTTTGAGGAAAGATAGCCATTGTTGCTTTATTGCAAAATGTTTTGATTTCCGGCATCTGACAAAAAAAATTAGCTGTAGATTTCCCAGTATGATTATTCAGGTTGATACTTGAAACTTCAGTACACTTGTCGAGTTTAAATTTTCTGTAATACTTTGCTTCCATCACGATCCTTCTTCTTTCTAAGTAAAAATCAAAATAAGAAGCAGGACCGTTTTGACCATCAGTATTTAAAGATTTCTCACAACACTCCTTATAAACACTTTTTATGTCAAGTGAATTTTTTAACTTTGAAGTTTGAGGAATATTTCTTGATAAGTTCTGATAGCAAGTGCTAATTGCTTTAACTGGTTTGTTCATTTTTTTAGAATTACTTATTTTCTCAGGTTTTTTCTCTACTTTTTTGGAAAGATTTTCTAATCGGTTTGAACTTCTAAGCATTTGTTGATCATCAGTAATTTGTCCAATTACAGGATTGCTGTTTTCTTTTGCTTTAACCGTGTCTTTTCCTATCAAAGTGGAAACAATGATCCTTTTCTTTTTTTTTGGATAATAAAACCGTGCCTCATCGTTTCCACTTAGTCTTGGTGATTTTCTTAACTCAACAGGAAAGTCATAGGACTCAAATGATAAGCGGCGTTTCTGTGGTCTCTCAAGCATAGTCTTATTTTTATTGTCCAATTCATTTTTAGTTAGTCTCTGGCCTTGGCTGGTTTGAGAAGCCTTATTATTTTCCTTGCGTTTTGGAGCTAAAATAAAAACTTGTATTACTTTTCATTCAAATGCAAAAAAAAGTTTCATAATATTCACCTTTGTAATTAGTTTCATCCAATGATGCTTTTCTCTTCTTAGCTTCACTTTTTGAATCTAAAAATAAATAATGATGATTAATCAAAGGTTTAGATTTCCACCATAGCAAAAAAATCCATCTATTTTATATAACGATCAATCTGTCAATTTAGTAATAAAAGAATTTGATGCTGTTATTATTCGCTTAATTGAATTAAATCTACAATAGTTTTGTCAAGCTGAATTGAAGAGCTAAATAATTATATTATTAATAATAATAATTAAATATATCATTTAGGGCATGAAATTATCTTAGCTGTTAAAACGCCCTTAAAAATTAATAATATTAATAGTAAAACTTATGTTAAACAAATTCCTAGACAAAAAAATTCTAGTTGCTGCAGTTATTTTGCCATCCCTAATTTAATTTAATATTAATATATTATAAATAATAATGAATTTAATACCTAGACTCCTGTTCAAAATTCCTTTTGAGTTTGGTCCTAAAATGAATAAATACATTAACATTTTCATTACTTTTTTGTCATGATTAACAAATTTATTCCTCACACACATGCATCATTTAAACTTAGAATACACTTAAATGTAGAATAATGAATAAAAAATTGACAGGTTTTCTTGGATCCTTTGTTAGAAATCTGTGACAAACTGGAGCGTCTTACAAAAATATCGGTAAATTTCTGAGAGGTTTGGTGGGAAATGAAAAAAGCATACGAGGTAGCAAAAACTAGATGTTCCACCATCCTGAACTTCGGAGTTGGCCTACTGACACTAATAGTTGAATCAATCAGTTATTGAAATGGATTACTGGATTGGCAAAGATCAAATACAATAGCGCAAGATTCTCTAATTGAGAACTATCAAAACACGAGGTGGAAAACACGTGAGAAGTGGCAACAGTCAACCCTTAGACGGTTCTCAGTTTACTTTTTAAACAAATATTTATACTATTTTTGAACTATTATATTTTGTATATACATATTACTTTTGCAATATTCTTACCTTGTTTGGCTTTTGTGGGCTGCACCACTTTATCAGATGAAGGCACAGTGATAGTTATTCCATTACTAGGACCTACAATTTAAATTGAAATCATGAGTGTTGTACATTTTTGTAAATTTATACAAAATTTTATATTAACTTAAATTAGGCTTTAAGAAGTAATACACAAAAAAGAAAAAAATAATTCCAAACAAAAATTATCTTAAAAATGTTAAAAATTAATATTCATTACCAGTTAATTGGTGGGTTTTTAGAAGATTTTTTACATTGATTAATCGCCTCAATGAATACGGTGTGTAGAGTTCTGGGATGAGAATGTTGCATTCTGGACACCTTCTATTAGTGACGCAGGCAGGGCATAAAAAGTGGCCACAAGGCGGTGTTGACAGCAATTCATTATTTTTATAGCTGAAATTTAAGAATAAACATGATAATTAGTTTAAAAATGCTACTATTCAGTTCACTTTATACAAATAGGCTTTTTATACTACAGCTTTTTTTGCAAGTAAATTCTGTATTTTGTCAAAATCATAGCCACTATTTGATTAAAGTTGATTTCTTAATTTAAAAACAAGTAATTCAGATCAAGCCAGTAACATGAAGTTTTGATAAAATAAAAATATAAAAAAAGAATAACCTGTGATAATATATTAATACATATATTATTTATGGTTTTGCAATGGACACCCATTGTGAAAAAACAATTTTTTAAATGGCCTTATGAACTTCACATATTAGTCGAGGAACGTGGTTGATCAAATCCAAAGTGTATTCTTTTTTTGAGGGAAAGGGAAGTCCTTGAAAAAAAGGAAAGTGGGAATCGAACCCACGCCGTGGCACAGGATCTAGAGCCGAGAGTCTATCACACTGACCACTCGGCTCCAACAGTCCCCCTACTGACAATTTTTATTAAATAATTGTTCGATATACCATATAAAAACAAAACATAGGCAAAACTTTAATAATCCAAGGAAGTATTGTATTCTTATATCAAGATTTTTGACATAAGCGCCCTCGAAAACTTGGAGCAGCTGAAGGAGGCAGGCCGCCTTGAAATACATTCCATCAAAAATCTCAATGTTTTAGTTGCTCCAGTTTCACCTACCATCTTCACTAGAAAATGCTAAAATTCACTTTAAAAAAATCTGTATTTTGGTCGTTATTGCTCATCCTGGTCTGCCCATCCTCAATATGTTGGTCAGACCCAAGACTGAAGATGGCAAAAAGCTGAAACACATTTGACAGACTAATGTTCACGAACTTACAATCACAAATCAACCCACAAATTAAAAATTATATTGTTAATTCTTTGAAAATGAAAAATATCATTTCTAAAGATATAAGATTTCTAAAAATAGGCACTGAGTTGTACATTGTAAGCAGTAGATAATGATGATTTTGCTTGACAAGTCAAGGCCTGACTATCAAATATGAATATTGAAGTTATTAGAATGTTTGACATTGCTTTGACATTTCCAAAATTCATGGTATAGTAGCAGAACACATGGGGTTTAACAGCAATCAGCAGTTAAGATGTGATAGTGAGATCTAAAATGTTCAATATTGTTTGGTAGTAAATTGTAGTTTGTTCAACATTAATCAAGTATGAAAACAATTTAAAATCTTTATTCAATTTCAGTCAGACTTACACATTTTTTATTACCTACCACCCTCCCAAAGTAATGGCAACTTCTCTAAACCTACCTCTACCTCTAATTTAGAGTCTTTATTATTAAAAAATTCTGTAAACGCATTTTCTAACAATTTTTGATCAACTAATTTTTAGTTGTAAAATGTTGTCTAGGTGTTGAAAAAAATGGTAGTCGGTAGGCGAGTGGTATGGAAAATGGGGAGGGTGAGGCAGAACCTCATAACCAACAGCCAACAGTTTTCATCGTGTTGATATATGTGAGGAGATATGTAGCCGAGCGTTGGGTAACAGAATCAGCCTTTTCCAAATGAACAAAAATGGCTTCATTAATGTCCATTTCTGATGCATTGCTTCAATTTGAGAGCAATACATTTCGGCATTGATTGATTCACAAGGATTCAAGAAGCTTTCATAACAGCCCAAATAAAGCCCACCAGTGACCATCACCATTTTTTGGATGAATTGGGAGCTTTGGAAAATGTGGTGCTTGTCCTTTGTCGAGCCACTGTCCAAATCGTTTGCTGTTATCGTAGAAAATCCACTTTTCATCACAAGTGACTAATTCTTTCCAGAAAAGGTTTGTTTCTGTTTCAGCAAAGAAGTGTTTCGCAAACTTCTAAAGATAATTATTTGGCGGACAATTAATTGCATGAGGAACCCAACTTTCAAGCTTTTTCATCTTTCCAATTGCCATAAGGTGGTCGCGAAGGTCGATTTGCTAACTGAACGATTCTCAGAAAGTTCTATCATAGTTGTTCTGCGATTTTCATAAACTTCAATATCAAAAATCCTTCCATGACCTTCTTTGCCTCAAGGCTAAAGTCTCCTCAAAATTTTCTAAACCATATCTGAATGGTGCTCTCACTTACACTGCCACCACTCCAGATTTAGTTAATGTTTCTGAATGTTTGGACACCATTATGACAAATTTTAACTTGTAAAACAAAACTACGAATAAAATATATAATCAGTGTTATTTATAAATATCAAAATGATATATCTATGAAGCCAAAGCAGACTCTACACTCTAAATATGAAAATCACTGAAATAATCCACTATATATTGTTAAGGAGTTTTAGCACTAGAATACTGTAATAATGTTTGAATCCTGCTCATGTCATTGACTTTTTTATCTCAACTAAAAATCTTAATTAATTGTGATATATTAATTGGTCAAGCGGACCACGAAATTAGTGAATTTTTTGTAATAATGTTGGATCGAATTGAAAATTAGTATAGAGGACAAGTCGAAGGTCAAATGAACACCTGCGAGTTTTCTACTGCAGTAAATAAAGAAGTGACTGATTTTATTATTCAAACATATTGAACATAAAAGGCTCATCTTTTTTGATAATTAGTCATTTGTATGTTTATTCGAATATGGTACGTGTAGCAAAAATAATTTTCATTGTACTTCATTTTTTATACTGACTATGAATTTATATGCTGTAATGTTTTTCATTAGATAATTAGATGTTTAGGGGTTAGATAATTAGATGTAATTAGTTTTATGAATTCAAATTTTAAAGTTTTTCTAGGCTTAGGCTAACATGTTATGGACTAAATTTTGGTTATGATCCTAATCCTAAATTAAATGTCGACATTGCACACATTTAATAATTGTAAAATTGAGCGTTTATAAGATGTGGAAATAAGAATAAATTACAAGTTTTGAAAGATTGTTTACATAAAATACAAATTGCATGTATATTTGTCGATATTTTTTAAACATATTTTAAATGGCAAGGCTTGGGGATACAAAATTTATTCGATCCAACTAGGCTTAATAGTTTTCTGTGTATCTACGCGATATTGGGAACAAGTCAGCAAAATGGGCTTCGGCTGTCAAAATTGACCAGGAAACTGGAAATGGTGGGATTTGTTAGAATGTGCGTTCGCCAAATTTTGCAAAGGCCATTTTCCCACGATAATCGGCATTATTGTATCAAAATAAATTATACGTACCATTTCACGCAAACAGCAATCCTATCGACGCTATCACCGAAAGAGTCACTCGAAGCCCGGTTTGCCTGGCTCATCATTGAAAAACTGGTAAAATTATCAAAACCTAATGGGTAAACTATAAAAGCACGACTTTTAGACGGTTGTTATTTACAACTGAAAGCCTATCTCCCAGAGGAAAGCATCTCGCCTGACTTATTTGAATGTCCGGTAGGTAACAATAAGTGTAGCCTCAAAGCGGTAAAACAAATAGCTGTAAACAAAAATCGGTTATTTGGATTGTGACGTTTTCCAAGTCGGGACCAATTTTAAATGACATTAGTAAACAAAAAACGGAAACTTTTGGACAAAAAGATATGCAACAGGCTGGCAAATCGATTCGTGAAATGAAGCGATAGGCCTCGTGAACGTCAATTGCGAGGTGCAGCTACCAGCTGGCGTTACTGAATCGACGAAGTGTACCTGAAAGCAGGAAATCTCTCTTGAAAGCAGACAGCCAGCAGCATAATTTTATTTCGTGTTTTTGTTATAGATTAACAGCAGATGTCATTGTGTTGCTTTACAAACAACTCCAAAGCGGACATTTATGGGTTTTGTTAATCACATTTACGGTTGAAGTATTTTATGAAGTGTCACTTTAGGCAGGAAGTTTACCCATAGGTACTTAAACGGAAAACTCGACAATTGCAGATTTTTATGGTATTATTAATGTTTAGATTGACAACTGGTTTAGTATAACTACCCGCCGAAAGTGTAGCTGAAAGATTGTTTAATTTCATGTTCTCTCTCTTCTGTCACCCAATAGAAAGATTTCTTAATTTGTGTTTTTATTATAGACTAATAGATAATATATGTTGATGGTTACTATTATAGCAAAAGAGATATTAGCCAGACCAATTTTTAAGGTTTTTTTATTATAGAGTACCACTAGCGTAGCCGAGTTGCTTCATGAAAGTGTAGCTTAGGCGGGAAAGCGCACTCGTACGTAGACGTCAAACTCAGCAATCTCAACAATTTATACATTGCATTACTTATGGTTAGAGTGACAATCCTCAAATAATTTGTTGTAATCAGAAATTTGCAAATGGTAATAACATATTGTTAAAAAATTACGGTAGGGATTCTCTAATTTACATTTTTATTGTAGAAAAACAGCTAATTTATGGTGTTCAGTTGTAAGATGAAATAACCTCTGAAAGCTTGAGAGTAATATCGTCAACCACCCAAAGTTTTATGATGGTTTTTCTATAAGCGCTATTGTTGCTGAATTATACACTGAAAGCTTGATTAATTTCATATTTTCTTTTAAGTCAAACAATAGACAAATTTCTTAATTTGTGTTCTTATTATAGAATAATAGTTATGGTTGCTATTATAGCAAAAGCAGACATTGTTAGCCAACCAAATTTTTAAGATGTTTGTATTAGAGAGTAGCTGATTGACTTTATGAAAGTTAAATTTAAGCAGAAAAACACTTGAACGCAAATGTCAAACCCAGTAACTGCAACAATTTATACATTGCATTTTTATCATTAGAGAAACAATCCTCAAATTACACATTGTANATAGAGAGAGAGAGAAATAATTCTCTAATGTACATTTTTACTGTAGAGCAACAGCTAATGCATATCATTGAGTGGTAGATATAAAGAGTCTGAAAGTTTGAGAGCAAATATTGACAACCATCAAATTTTTAAGGTGTTTTTACAGTAAATGCTGGTATTTCTGAATCATATGCTGAAAGTATAGCTAAAATATTGCCTAATTTTATTTTCTATTTCAACCAACAGAAAAAATTCTTAATTGTTTGTTGTGTGGTTTTATTGTAGACTAGCAGCTAATATATGATGATAGTATTTTGAGCTTGTAACAATAGCAAACATTGTTAGCAACCCAATTTTTTGTGCTTTTTTTATAATTGTGTAACAGCTGGTGAAGCAGAGTTGCTTTATGAAAGTACAGTTTAAGCGTAAAAAATTTTCTTTAAAATTTTAGGTGGGCGGTATGTTTTGGCCCGAGCAAAATCGGCTCTGGCCTTGACCTTTTCCTCATTTTCCAGTAGTTCCTATTTTTCTGTGTCAATTCAATTTTCCTTTACCATTTTTCAAAATTTCCCTTATTTCTCATCCTATTTATCACATTCTGAGCTATAGGTCATTCTATGATGTTGCAACAGGGGCCCCAAACTCACGAGATGACCTCCAGTGATTGGTTCCTTTTTATTATACAGCCAACACCAAACTGTAAGTTTTTTTCTTTTATTTTCATTTTAATGTTAGTATCCAGTCCAAATATTTTCAGGCATGAAGTTTGTCTTTATCAATGTTAATGTTTATATAAAAAAGTTGTAATTTTATATGGCTTTATATTATTATTATTATTATTATTAAAATACAGCTGCCATGATAAATGGGGTTTAACACAGACATTAACGAATTATATTGGGTCATACAGAATAGCTGAAAGCTCACTTGTAATTTAATTTGTTCATCTCACTTAACCACAACATGAATTCTGTAATTTCTATTTTTATTATAGAGTTACAGTTTATTTTCAGCGTTGAATTATAATTGTAGGCTCAAAGAGCCTCTTAAAGTAAATATCGTCAACCACCCAACTTTTTTTTGCTACACAGTCAGTATTGCTGACTCATATGTCGAAGTATATAATAGCCATAACAAGGCCCTTATATTAGTTTCAGGGTCTTTATTCTTCCAAATTTATCAAGATGTTATTTTTATTTTGAAGGTTCAACATTTTCTTTTAATTTCATTTTTCAGACATTTTTAAAGCCAATTTTAAGGATCTTGAAGTGATATTTGAATAATATCAACGATAAGTAATAAATCATTAAAAATTCTTTGGCATTTTCACCAAACATTCCCGGACTTTGAAAATATTTTTTCTGTAAAAAAATTATTTTGTTACCTTGTTGGACCCCACCTTGAGTATGCTTCTAATATTTGTTCTCCACTTCTGTAATTCATTCTCTCACCATAGAAAAAATGTAAAAAAAAAACAAATTTTAACATGTAATTGCTTGATACTGAAACTCAAAAACAAGAAGCCTTCTGATTTAATTTTCTAAACAAAAAATTACATTATCATGAGAATTTTTAGATCTGCTAATTTGGTTCACATAAAATTGATTTTTTTTTGTTCAAATTAATCATATTAAAAGAATTTTGAAAAATAATTATGGAATTTTTTTTAAACTAAACATATTTTATATTTTAATCTACAATTTGATTTTTTATCTTATTATAAATAAAATAAATAAATGCAAGTAAATAAGATTATATTCAAATTTGTCTTCTATAACTCTGCAAACAATGTGAACCACTCTTTTTTTATTATTTATTAAAGAGTAACAGGTGGCATTACAAAGTTGCAAGCTTAAAAGTGTAGCTGATAATTGGAAAGTGTGCTTGCACACTTTTATCAAATTTCACTGACTTGTCTCATTCTGGACCTAATATAAAAATATATACAAAAAATTGTGCTATCCTAACTAGTACCTAGATGTTAATACAGGCCAGACATCCCGCTCTAGGAAATGCTTATATTTTATCATTCATTGATTAAGCACCACTTGAAAGTATAATGGATATCATTTGAAAAAGAAATATATACATATAATGATTTGGTTTTATTATAATCTGACACTTTACAAATGTACATACAGGTTAAAGTTTTCTTCGCTGAATTGTGATTAACAGAATCACCAAATATCTTGATCGCACTCTCTAAAACCTTTTGCAAATGGGTTGCTTGCAATTTTCAGTTGGGTTATCTGAAAACAAGAAGATATTGCGACATTGATGACATTGATTTGGCCAATTAATAATTTTATTAGACCTTCTATTGGTAATATATAATAATTTATTTTTACATTTAAGAACTAATCATACAAACCCTCTGATTTTGGTATGCAGTCACTGCTGTAAACTCTGTCTCAGCGAAAAGAAAAGTTCTAAAAGGTGCACCTTCTTGGTTTAAAAGTACATGCAGTCGTGGCTGATAACGGTGCATTGAATTCAATATTATCTGGAACAAAATTAATTTGGATGTTGACTTAGCTAGCTATAAGCTTGAGAATTAGATGTAGACAGTTGTAAAAAGTAGTAATATTTTCTTAATTTATATCTTATATAATTGTGTAGGAGTATGTTAAAAAATCGGGAAATTTGAAATCATGAGTTTATTTATTTATTTTTTGGAATGAGATATTTTGTACTTCAAGACCCTACTAAAAAAGCTCAAACTTAATGAACTTGCAAATTCAATAACTAAATGTAATGAATGTAAAACTTCTAAACTAGAACACAGTATTCAGTAGTTGACTGTATGATCATTTAAAATTTTTTTTAAACTGGGCTTAACTGTCTGGAAAATCCAACATATCGACTGTTTACGAGGTTAAAAATGTTCTTTTTACATAAAACCATTTTTGTTCTAAAGTTAAGATAAAATGATTTCCTGAAACTTATTCTACAAAATATTCAGTTTTATTTCCTACCACTTTTACCCATACTTTAAATTTACTGATATGCCATTAACAGCAAAGATCATAGCTAGATGTCACGACATAAAGCAGGGTGTGGCAGGAAACAGATTTTTTCCATTTTTGACAATTCTGTCTTTTTGCAACATTACAATCAGTTGTATTTTCAGATTAGCCACCAAAGTTAGGTGCTAAATGGCTATTAAAACTTGGTAATTCAGTCCACAATGCTGCAATTTGTATACTAAACATAGTTTGATGGAGTACTTAACATTCACCGATCACATTGCACAAAATAACTGAGCTAAGTCTAGTGGTAATATTCCAACATTGATTCTCTAACATGTATGCACGCGAATGCATATATTTACTCTCATAACAACTACTCTGAGACAAAAAGGGGCCACTCTTAATATTTTTAGTTATCTCTTACTCAAACCCTTATTATCTTAAAATATTTTGTCTGTTTTAAAGGATTAGAGGTAAATAATACACAGATAAAATCTCCCACTTATGTTTACATTGGATTTTACAAATATATTTTCAAATAGTCAATCTCTTCTTTGTCGGTTTTTCTGTAAACCTTCTTTCTAATGTTTGAAAGGTTCAATTTGTTTAAGTTGTACCATTTTTAAGTTTCAAAATAGTTTTAAGTGATACTGGTTTGGCTATAACGTAGCATTATTGGAAGATGGAAGAAGTCAAGTCTCAAGGTGCTTAACATTCCCAGACCAACTGTCTGAAGGGTCTTCCATCTCAATGAAGATACTGGAAGTTCTCAAGAAGGCATGGATCAGATTGCCACCATGTCACATCTAAAAGAGATGATCGTTTTATTATTTCGAGTGTACTCCATTGACATTCTACTTCTGTTGAGATCAAGCAATGACTTCAATAAGTTAAAATGTTAATGTCAATTTATGCACTGTAAGGCAAAGTCAGATGCAGGATGCAGAAGCCATGTGAAGGCCTGCCACTGGTCCAGAACTTCTGACCAGGCACAGAACTGCTTGGTTAAGTTTAACAAGAAATCACATCATTTGGTCTAAGCAAGATTGGATTAAAATTTTGTTTTTGGATGAGTCAAGGTTTTGTTTGAGGACTTCTGACAGCCTAGAAAAATTAAAAAAAAAAAAAAAACAGGAGAGCTAATATATTGACACAAAATTTTCACTCTGAAAAGCTATGGAGATAGTGATGTTATGGTTTGTTATTTTTGGTAAAATTGTTTTACTCAATTTAATTTTTTTATTTATCTATATCTTACATTTTTCTTTAAAAATATCCAATAAACAATTTTAAAAAAATATATAATGATTAAAAAACAACAACTCAGGACTGAGAAAGTTCTTCTGGTTCTTAAGATTCTCATAGGTCACATATCTACTTTCACTCTATAATGACCCACACATTAAGCAACATTTTAAAGCATCAATAGGGTTATTTTGTTTGTACGTTTTGAAACTTATTCGATTACTCCACAAATAAAAAAAACTTACATGACCATTGTCGTCCAATTGATTATTTGTGAGCTTAAGCTTGTCGAATGACACTACTTGTCTTGTCCAATGAGCCCCTGTAGCAGGAGAATCCGGATGAATGTACACTCTTGGAGGGCTGATTGGATCAGCCTTTCCTGCGACAACCCAGCTTGAACTGGAAAAAAATACAGGTCAATTGTATCAATTATTTAATATTTGACTCTTGACAGTAATTCACCTGTGAAATAAATATCGGTATCTTTTGTCGTCTAGAGGGACAAAGTCAACCATTAGGACATACGTAGAATCAGGCACCATCCCGCTAAACTTCACTTGAAAAGTTGGAAACATTTTTCTAAAAAAAAAAAAGAAATTTGACAATTTAGTCATTTTGTCTTTAAATTTCTCCCTTTCTCATTTTACCTCCCAGATTTTGTAACTATCATCTCAGTGCCTAAGCTGTTAAACTCCCTCCAAAGCTCCCTCGTCGTCAGAGTGGCTGTGATTCTTTCCATGTTGTTGAAGTTCTTTACGTCCGGTTTCCCGGGAGATGGTCTCACCCATTCTGAAACGCCTTGTCACAATTTCACATATCGTATATTAAATTTCACTGTCAATTAATGCGATTAAAATAGCACATGTATCAATTAACAGATTGTAAGTTTCTATGGGTGAGCAAGTCTGTTGGTAAATTGTCAGCTATGATAAATATCTAACTCACCTCTGGTTTTGATGTTTGATCATGATCTAAGTGTAATAGTTTACTAAAAGAAAGAAAATTTCTACAAGTATTACTGCTACTTACTATGTAATTCTAATATGTATTACTGTTTTTGATATTTCTACTTATATTACAAACAATAGTTTATTTTCATATGTTAATAGACAATATTAAATGGGTGAATAATTACATGTAGACAAGAATGAATATGCCATATATACCACATATTGGAAGCAATAATCAAAAAAATACCCAACAGCGCACCAGCATGCCTACTAAGAATTATTTTTGAAGTTATGTCATATACTCCTATTCTAATGTACAAAATTGTATATATACTAGGTAGGGATTGTGCTAATAAGGAAGAAAAAGATGAGCCCGCCAGATATTGTAGTACATGTAGACATACCATTCTCAAAAACTAGATTTGAAGAAAAAAGTGCTAGTAATGATGATGCAATGATGGGGCAGTTAACAACCAATATAATAGAAGGATGGCTGTTGACCAAAGCATCTCTCTGTGAAGTGTTGAAAAATTGTTACAGTTTCAGCGAAGAGTTTTCATCCATTTCATTCCATGAAAGAAGGGATAATAGTAAAATGAAAGCAAATAGTTGCACCAAACAAAATAGTGCGGACAGTTCTTCACAAAATTTATCATGGTCAGAGAGGCACAGAAGCAAAGTGGCAAGAGAAAATCTATTTTGGCCTAATATATCCACAGATTTCAACAGTTTTGTGTTGAGTTGTCCTACTTGTCATTCTATTCAGAAAAGGCAAACCTGAAGAGCCCAAAGTTAGTGAAATACCAAACAGACCCTGGAAAATAATGGGATGTGACTTGTTCAACTGGAAACAATAAGAACGTTTGATCATTGCAGATGTTTATTTAGGATTTTTCAATTTCCAAGAATTGATCATGAACACTAGCTCAAATCAAGAAATCAAACAATTGGTGTTTTCTTCCTGTATTACCTGACAAGAAAACAAGGTCTGGAGGTCTGCAGTCCAATTGCAAGCAATGTCATGATTTGGTAATGTCAAGGAACTTTCCCCCAGTTTTTCGGCCCAATTTTCTTGCTCAAATTGAACAATTGAGTGCAAAAGGCCAAGCTTTTATCGGGTTGTCCGGAAAATAATGCAGGATTTTAAGTTTTCATTAAAAAAAATCTATATAAAATATTCTGTTTACGTTTACAGGATTACTCATTTGTATGAATGTCAACACTTATTAATCCTCTTCCAAATGATATTGTTTGTTTACCTCTGTAGCATTCCGCTACTTGGAAATAATTCAGTCATCCTTACAATGTCAAAGCGAGAATTTCGTACGATTTTCTTTTACGAGTTTAAACTCGGCCGAAGCGGAGCCCAAACGGCTAGAAACATTAACCAAGTCTGGGGCGAGGGTTGTGTTAATGAGTGCACTGTGCAAAGGTGGTTTAAAAAATTTCGGGAGGGAGATTTCAGCCTTGAAGATGAAGAAGGTCGTGGAAGGCCTTCCTCTCTTAATGATGATGTTCTGCGATCAGTGGTGGAAGAAAACCCCAAAACAACTGTTCGAGAACTTGCAGAGCAACTCAAAGTCAGTAAAACGACCGTCGCTGACCACCTCAAGGCGATTGGAAAAGTGAAAAAACTCGAAAATTGGGTTCCACACTCATTAAACGATCGCCAAAAAAATCAGCGCTTTGATGTTTGTGCATCACTTCTTTGTCGAAACAAAAATGACCCATTTCTGGCCAGAATTGTTACATGTGACGAAAAGTGGATTCTCTACGATAACACTAGACGTTCTGGACAGTGGCTCGACAAAGGAGAAGCTCCAATACATTTTCCAAAGCCCCCAACTCATCAAAAAAAGGTAATGGTTACGGTATGGTGGGCTTCATTTGGTTTAATACACTACAGCTTCTTAAATCCTGGCGAAACCATCAATGCTGAATCATACTGTAACCAAATTAATACCATGCATCAGAAATTGGCAGTAATGAAGCCCTCTTTGGTCAATCGGAAAGGGCCCATTTTGTTGCATGACAACGCTCGACCACATGTGTCACGTGTAACGTCACAAAAATTATTGGAGCTTGGCTATGAAACTTTGCCTCACCCACCCTACTCTCCGGACCTCTCGCCTACTGACTACCATTTTTTTAGACACCTGGACCACTACTTACAACACATAATATTCAAAAATCAAACGGAACTGGAAAATGCATTTATTGACTTTATCAATTCTAAAAATTCTGAATTCTACTCAGACGGAATTAATAAGTTACCAACACGTTGGGAGAAATGTATTGAGAGTATGGGAAATTATTTTGATTAAAGAACATTGCTTTAAAGTAACTAGTTTCTTTTTTTTTGTTTAATACCAAAATCCTGCATTATTTTCCGGACAACCCAATATTTACAAAATGTACCAAAGAAGACTCAGACATTCATGTAGCACTTTTGAACCAGTGCAACACTCCCAGCAACAGCATCGGATCCCCTGTGCAAAGACTGATGGGTATTTGAATAAAAACATTGATTCCTTGTCTTCCAGCAATTTTAATGCCACAAACCATATCACTGAAAAGATGGATAAGCTCTAAAAATTTGGCAAATTGAGCAAAAGAAAATTGTTGGTGTTTTGATATTAGAAAGACACCTCACCAACTATTCAGAGATGGAGTCAAGATATATGGAGAAAAGCATCTCGAGAACGGGTACCTGCAAAAATTATTAACAAACATTTTGAAGGCTCCAACTCATACATTATAGAAACTCTCGATGGGACCAAGTTTCAATGAAATTCCTGCTTTCAAAGAACAAGGAATGAACGACAGCAGAGACATACCACCTATGATTCAATATAGGACACCAGAAAGAACAGGAACTTCAATGAACCAAGAAGCCACAGCCATGGGAGAGAGATACAACCTATTCTAGTACCACCTAGCCCAGGGAAACACAAAAAGGCTCCCATAGAGCATACGCCACCGAAAACCCTGGAGCCAAAGTCACCAGCAGCAGAAAGGCCCAAAAAAACTAATCTGCCAATGCTTCCATTTGCTGAGGGTATAGGGTAACTAAAAGTGGTAAGTTAGTTAAATACCCCAGAAAATCTCAGTAGAATACTCATCCTAAAAATACAAATGAGCTCCTGAAGAAAGGGGATGTCAGGAACCAAGATGTCATTGATACAATGAACATCTGGACGGACATATCATTCTTGTAAAGAGGGGTTTTTAAGCTTTAGACTAAAGAGTTGATTACAAAACAGACTTCTTGATCTTCTTTAGTAATAAATCATTGGTATTAACTTACATTATAATTAATTAATTAAAATCTAATAGGTATTACAATTTTTGATATTTATACTTATATTGCAAATAATACATTATTTTCATATGTTAATAGAGGATATTAGATGCGGGAAATAGTTATTTGTAGACAAGAATGAACGTGAAGCACAATAATTATATGAGATTTCTTGTTGAGGTCTGCAGATAGATGAACCTTTAGTTTGGTTGTTTTCTATCATTTTGGTCTTCCTTTTCTATGTTTTGACCTGTCAGACGCTTTTCACCAACTTGCCGTCTTCAATGGCGAGTATGGTAATCTAAGAAAAGGACAAACACTGGGAAACGTACAGCCCAGCTTCCGAAAATGCCGAACGTGCTTGGCAGTTTGAATGAAGATACCACTTGACTTGTCACGACTGTAGAGAACCATCCTTTTCAAATATTAAAATTGATGTACCCACTTCATCATATTTATTTTATTTTTTACGGCTTACGTCTTTATATATTCCATATAGCATTTTAAGCCTTTTGGATAATGACATCTGGCTAATATAATTCTTAACATTAGAAATGGATGTAGACCGATCCATTTGACCAATATACCTCAAGGTGCTTTGAGTGGTAAAACTTTCATCGGGCTCAATATTTATCCAAGCTGCCAAGACTAAGATTTACGAGCAAGGGAAGTCTCACGGGGCATCTGTTTACATAATACACATCTCCGGCCCATAACAGAATCCCCACGGCAAAACATGTCAACTTGGAAGAGTTACTAGTAGTAACTCAATTTGTTTGCTTTCTTCCAATTGATTCATTAAACTTTTCTTCTTCTTCTTTTTTCCACCTCACCGTGTTTAACCGGAAGAAAAAACAAACAGACTTTTCCCATGATCAAACCTCGAATTAACAAAAAATAATTTTTTTATTCAATCAAATCCTCGGGTCCCAAACACCGGCGGTTTGTGGCGTTAAATTCCCTTTTGACCCAAAGTCAGTATTTGACCCCATTATGTAATTATAAAAAAATGAACGCAAATATATTAAATTCAGTTCAAGGACATAATTTAAACAATTGTTACGATACATTGTGGTACGTAGTTTGTTTTTGTCCAATCATTTCTGGTACACCTATTCCATCTCGTTCCCGGCCGGACCTGCCATACTCGAAACTAATTACAATGGGTTCTATTTGAGGTTTATGTCTAAAAGTTTTATGACTAGCTTACAATAAAAAAATAGATAGATAGGTACAACGCTACATTAGTAGTTGTCAGTATCTGCCTACTGAATGTATTTTCACCTATCCCAGAGAAATAATTAAAATTATAAAATCCCCCAAAAACAATAAATCCCCTGGCCTTGACAACATTCATAACATCTTCCTCAAAAACCTTCCACAAAATGCCATAGTTCACCTAACAAACATCTTCAAAATTAAATAATGATTGTTGGCTACTATCCTCATCACTGGAAATCCTCTTAAGATGTCCTCATTTTGAAACCTGGCAAGTCCCCATCCGATCCAAATAGTTACAGACCTGTTAGCCTACTTAGCTCGGTTAG